CTAGAACCAGATTGAACTAGACCCAAACCATATAGAACCAAGTTAAACCAACCTACTTAACATTCGAATTTTGTCTAAACCAGCCAAAGCCAGCTTAAGGGGACCAAACTGACCCATTCAACTAGTTGAAATTGGTTTACTTGAGTTGTTCCAATCTAGAAGAACTGGATCAAACCTAAATTCTTTCCGATTTCATCTTCCCTACTCGAAAATAGACCTAGATCCTTGCAACCTTAACCTGAAAATCTTGAAAGCTTTAAATTTAGAATTTAAGCCACTTACCTCAGTTTTCTTCTTCAATTAATGGTTAAGAATTGAAAAACCGAGTTCAATGAACTATTTTCTGGGCTTGATTGAAGAAAATTCTAGCAAAAATGGCATAATTCCAACGAGCACAGGTTCGGTAGTCCCTGTGATCATAGTTGGAAATTGAAGGGCATAAGAAGTTGAAATCTCGAAATTAATTGAGGGTTTTGCTTTTATACACCATTTTGTTTTTGTTACATTTTTTTATACACCATTTTGCATACTTATAGCTGATTTTAGGCAGTGAATTAGCAACAAGTTGCATTCCATTAGTCTCCAAAGTTCTAGTTAGTGACTGACTAGAACTTTCATAGTTCTCTTGATTAGATCCCTTAAAGTTTATTTTCTTTCAATCAGACTTCCGACTTTTCTAATTTTGACTAGCAACCTTTAGCGCCTTACTCTCTGATCCTCCCTCTTTAATTTCTTTTAATTAGACTCTAGCAAATTATCAAGTGAGCCCAAATTCTTTTGATTTCTTCACTCACACCTTCCAAAAATTTTAATTAAGCCTCGATTCTTCCGCTTCATGCAATTTTATCCCTCACACTTCTAATTGATCCCAATTCTATTTAATTCTCTCAATTAAAATCCTCCAACATAATAATTAGAAGAATTTTGTTAATTAATTTAAAAGAACCAAGGCTATTACAGTTTACCACCGTCAAACTTGTTGATCAAAAAATTTAAAAAATAAATGCATAAATATATTATTTAATCACAAAATAGCAATACTCTTTATTTCATGATAAATATAATATAATTTAGATTGTATAAATTTAAAGTGTAATTTTTAAATAAAATTAATAAATACATTATTCAAAATTGGTTTTAATAAATTGGTAAAAATGACGATATTACCAGTTTTGACTATTCAAACTCTAGTTTTGATTAAGATATCTTATTTAGACCGTTTGTCAGACCAAATTATGGTCAATCCAGTCCAACTTATAAAGCCAATCCAAGTTTTAAAACATTGATTTTTCTTTTGAGATGGAGGAAACTATTCTTGATCATAAATTCGAGAAGAGAAAAAAAATGCAAAAAAAAAAGAAGAGGTTTTTATGTTTGTTTAAAATCTTGTAGCTTCAGAAATATATAATTAGAACATTACCTGCCACCCTGACTCTGTTTAGCTTTTAGTTCAAATGCCTTTGTCCAGTTGGAACTTTCCCAATCCCATTTCAGTTTCCTCTTGATTCTCAGTTCAACAACCCCAATACTCTCTCTCTCTCTCATATTTACAGTTACAGCTATGCCGCCGCCGCCGCAGCAGCTACGGTGGAAGTATTTAAATTCAAGGCTAGCAGGGGTTTCAATGAAATCCCTGAATATAATTAATTAATTAATTAATAAAACCATATACAGAATGGTCCCCTCCCCCTTCCTTAATTTCTGTACACGTGTTGCTTGCTTTTTTCGTAATTAGGGATGACGATTTAAAATAAAATACTTGTATATAATAATTTTATTCAAAAATATAAATAAGATTTTGTTATTTTCAAAAATAAAAATGTTTTCTAATTTTTTTCTAAAAGCATTTCAAAAAATATCTTGCCAAATCTTTTTCTGCTTTTGTAACATCTTTGAAAAATAATTTTCAAAAACAAATTAATTATTGTGCAAATCTTTACTCCTGGTTGCAATACTAGAGTAGTGGTCCAACCTATTGTAATAAATTTATTGGGCTAAACCCTGGTAAAGTAGTTCATCACCATCATCAGAAGTTCCATTGTCCCAGTAATTCTTATTTCATCAGCTTAAATAAGATTAATGCAGAACCAGGCTAGCAGGTTCTAATATGGTTTGTGCATCACAGAAGAAAGCTTTGTTCCTATCCATGGAGTACAAGATGCTCATGAGGTGTCAGAATTCTCCTTAGTTATAATGAATATCACATAAACTCAATTACAAATAATACTTAGTACTAGAAAATTTAAATTTTAGTACTATATTTTTTATTAACACATAAAAAAGATTTTTTTTCCATATAATTATTAAATTGATAGTACTTGCCCTCTAATCAATACTCTAATGAAATATTAATTGAAAATTTTACTTCTAAAAGATATAAATATCTTTTTAAATATAATTATTCAATGATCTTTTCTCACCATCTATTGTCACCATTTATTTATTCACTTATCTTTTCTTACCATCTACTGTCCCCATTTATATTAACAAAAACATTTATATCTTTTAAAAGTAAAATTTTTGATTAATATCTCACTAAAATATTGAGTTGGGGGGGGGGGGGGGACAATTATTATGAATTTAGTATTTACAGAAAGAAGATCTCTTTTATGTGTTTGTAAAAAGTACAATACTAAAATTTAAATTTTTTAAGGAATGAAGTAATATTCCTAATTTTACTTTATTACATTTGTGTGATTGTATATTCTTTTCATAAATTTAGATTTTATATGTTTAATATAATTTTTTATTTTAAATTTTTCAATATGATGTCTCATCTCACATTGATGTGTGAATGTGAAACTATATTGTACATAGAACTTTACTAGAAAGTAATATTGAGTAACTAAATTTAAATATTTTAAATAAGTGATTTATACTCAATAAATTATTTGAATAAATAATTCTCAGATCAATCTCCTCCCACACCGGTAGTTTAAACTTAATAAAATACATTTAGAGAGAGAAATTCAAAAGAAAAAACCCTCTTTAATTTTTCTTAAATGATGAGAATCCTTAATCTTATTTAGTTTAAAACGTTGATTTGTGAATTTTAAATTTATTAGATATAAAATTTTATTAAAACATTTTATTGAATAATTTGAGTTTCAGATTTAACAACTTATTTTAGAGTCAATAATTTTCAGTTCAATCCTATTTGACATTAATTTAATACAAAATCTTGCTAACGAGTAATTTAAATTTATATATTTTGAGTTAATAGTTAAAACTTAATAAAATATTATAATTAAGGAGGAAAATTCAAAAGAAAAAGGCCCTCTCCAATATTTACCTAAGTAATGAGAATCCTTAGCCCTACCTTGTTTGCAACTAAGAATCTTTCTGTGTCTCGAATCTCGATTAACTCTCTGAAATAAATAAATAAATTTAATGCCCCAGAAACCCACCCTCAACGTTCAACCTGCGGCCTTTATCCAACGGTCATCCAATTATAGCCCATCGTGACAAACACTAAAGATAGAAGAAGTTCAAATATAATATTAGGGTCATTTGTTGATTAGCTGTCTAGTTAGTTAAGATTAACCAAACTCTTTGTACCTGTTTGGTGTAACTTTATTATTTATAACTTAATATAACTCTTATGTGTTGCAAATTTTTTATATATAAATATTTTAACATGTAAATATTTAAGATGGCCGCCAATAAAATTTGAACACAGTTTTTCAAAATACATATATTTAAGTATTTATTTAAATTATTGGCCATCATTTCAATTAATCGAAAGCCTAACTATACCTCTTCTTTCCATATAATTAGGCAATTGCACTGTCACATGTGAAGATGTTAATCCCATGTGACCACCTGCCTAGGACTTCTTCCTAAGCCATTATTAACTCCACAAGCATAAGGGGTCAAACTGCAAAAGCTTCCTCCTCTTTGACTAACCAGTGGTTAATAATGGATTAATATTAAATACAAACATGATATTGTTATATTTTAATTATATAATATAAGCCCTCCTACTTTCACTCTCACTCTTCTGTCTCCTAGAAAAAACAAAAGGCCCGAATCCCACTGCCAAAAGGACTTGAGAAAATGTGAAAATTACAAGACAACTTTTCAATAATTTCATGAATTATAAACCTAACCTATCCTATTTTCATGTATAATTGACAAAACCATGGAAGAGGTTAGCCTACTATATAGCTTGTACTCTCTTTGTGATGGCTAAAGGAGAGACAAAATTGACATTAAGATAGGAATAAGTCAATAAGGCTTATCTGAAATTTTGACCAAAATATTTATTTCATGCAAAATTTTGACTTATTGGATTAAAAATTCTAATATCTGTTAATCAAAATAAGTATTATTGTTTAGATATTACATCACTAACCCATTAAGCTAGTCCCTAATTGCTGCCATCGATTCTTGAATTAATAATATTCTTTCATAACAGAAATTGCCCATTTATATGGCAGAAATAATCTTGCAGAAATAGGGATTTAACTGCATACAATTTACAACCTTCTCTCCCCACATCGGCAAAATGGGGGTCTCATAGCTGGTTTATTCCCTTTTTCATTCATTATTTTTCTTGAGGATAATATGGTCATTGCACCTCAACAACAGGAGGTACACTTGGCCATCAGTTTACCAAAAGTTTGTGTTCAGAAACATTATTTGAAAAACAATTTCCTTTACACCCCCATCCGTTCATGCAGGAACTGACTGCTTCCAAGCTGGAAAACTGAATGAAATCACAAGAACTGTTAAATGGTATTAATTGTATCCGAAAACCAGAGTAGCACTCTCTTGTCCTTTAGCTCCCACGGCTTGTACCATACACAAAGACAGCCATATCTCATTGTTTTTTGGCTCCCAACATTTACAAGCAATAAAAGACAAAACAATAGGTTAAAAAATTACTAGGAAACAACAGAGCATCTCTTCCCCTTCATAAAGCCACACACATATCATTCATATTTACAAAATTCAAACACAAACTTACTATCTTTCTTCAACACACAACACAACCAAAAATGGCTTCACTTGAGCCAACTATGGGTCCCCGAATTTCCTTCTCGTCGGATTTCTTAGACGACGATAACTTCATCACCATCAGCCCGAACTCTCCAGCCAAAAGGGAGAATGAAGAAGAGCAAGAGAAAAAGAGAGAGAAAGAGAGAGCCAGAAACACAGAATTTGAGTTTCTCTCAAACAATTTGGACAATCAAACAATGCTGACAGCAGATGAATTATTTTCTGAGGGAAAACTACTTCCCTTTTGGCAAATCCATCATTCAGAGAAACTAAGCAAGATTAAGCTTACAGAAAAAGCTGCGTCTGTGCAGGAAATGGAAGAGGAAGGAATGAACAAGGGGGAGACGAAAGGAAATTGGTTCGTCGAAGATGACCCTTCTCCAAGGCCACCTAAATGCACTGTTCTATGGAAAGAGTTGCTGAAGTTGAAGAAACAGCGGGCTTCTTCTTCTTTGTCACCTTCTTCTTCTCATTCCTCAACATCTACACTAAGCCCACTCAGTGATTTGACTCAGAATGGAGAGACACAAGTTACAACAAGGAAAGGGGTGGAGAAGACGAGATCGGCCACTAGGAGGATAAGGCCTATGATCAATGTGCCAATTTACATGCAAGGGAAGAGCAATGCCCTGCCTCCTCTGTTTGCTGTTAAGAGAGGAAGACTAGAGAGGTGAGGATGAAGAAGCAACTGCTAGTTTTAATTTCATGAGAAATATTGGTCCATATGTTCATTCCTTTCATTTCTTACTTTCAACAATTTTACTTTCTAGAGCTCTTCCTCTGTTCTTTTATGTCTAGTAAATGCCGCTTATTCTCGGATCTGATAAATCATATGCAAAGGCTAACTTCCATTTCTTGGGTGATTTTTCTTTGCTTTCTTTTGTTAAATTCATTTGACAATGATACACCTGTTCTATAAAGTGAATCTTGCAATGTTTACTCTTGAGGATCACTGTTACTTTGAATAATACAGCATATTTTATGTGGGAACGAGCTGCGTAGAGCACTTTGCTTGATACATAACTTGTTATGATTAAGTAATCCCTAAAAATGTACCGTTTAGTGAGTGTAATATCACCGTTTATAACCCCTTCTTGCCCGTTTACCTATCCAAAATAACATCTGTAACAGTTGCATATAGTTGGGTCTTGTCCAAATATATTGAAAATGAACAAACTCTCTTTCTTAGACCAAGTTATTGGGTCCGTGGATTTATCATTCAAAATTTGCTCAAAAAACAGATTCCATTGATGTTTGTTTTCCCCATTTCTCTCATCACTAGTTCATTTTCTTTATACTAATTTCAACTAAAAGATTGGTTTGCTAGCGTTGAAGACCAGGAATGAAAAAGCTCCTCTAGTACTTACTATTCACGTAAAAGAAGAAACGGATTAGATGCCCTCACATTGAGAGTCAGTTTATCTTGTCCATGATACATGATTTAAGGACTGTTTCCATCTAAAGGTAATTCTGACTGACAGATAGCGAAGAGGATAATAAAGGAAAGGAAAATAGGAATATTGTGAGCTAATTTTTCCTTTAATCATGAAGAAAAAGAAAATGAGCTCCATCTCCATTTCTTAATTTCAAGATTAACAAGTGAATTTATACAATAATGCGAAAATTAAAATTCCACCAAATGGGTGTTTCTAATTGTGGTGGCACAAACCATGGCGTTTCCAACAGAAGATAGTTCAAATTCTTGTTAGATTTAACGTTCCATGACAGCTAAGATGGATACCCTAGCTGCCAGCATAAATATCAAGAAATTATTTGAGTCACCAGCTTAATGAATTTGCATTAACCTTGTGTTTGTATGTGTTGAAAGGATAAGAGTACCCCCAATCATGTTCAACATCAGATTAATTTATAAGAAAATAAATGACAAATGCTCTTCCCAATTTTCCTGGAAATCTAATGCACATTCCCCCAGCACGTTCTTGCTTGGATTGTCAGCTCCGATTGTGCATAGGTCAATGGGTAAAACGCAGTTCTAAGGCTCAGTTGAGCATGAAGGCCGTCGAAAATTTTCCCACAATCTCTAGGCAAACCTCGGATCTCGACGGGAAAAGGGCACAATTGATACGAAAATGTCGTAGTTTCCGAGTCTTAGAATTTATTCCCTAAACTCTGATGTGGATGCACTGGACCACACCTCGAAAGCCTCTCTCCGTCGTGATGAAACTAATGAGCTTTGTTTGATTAGGAATTTTTCCAGACCCAAGTGAGGATCTCCTTGGGAAACCACCACGGTTGTCGAGGGTTTCTAAATTTGTATAAACCAAATCTTTTTTCATTAAGCCCTCCTTTCACTAAACCATCCCCTCTCACTCGCACTAAACCCATTTCCCTCTCCTAACTTAATTCCATTAATCCATCTCCAACTCTAGCTCCCCACACCCTCTTACTAAGATTGTTCATGGTTTTAAAAAACCGAATTGAACCGCACTAAACTAAATCGAACCATACTGAAAGTTCAGTTTTTTTTGAAAATATTATAGATTTTGATATTGGGTAATACCGTACATAATATTTTAGTACCGTTTAGATTTTATAAATAAAGAACCGAAAAAAACCGTACCAAACTAAATATTATATATAATAATTTATTAAATTATTTATATTATATATAAAATATTCAAATTTCTAAAAATTAAGAATAATTTAATAATAATTTGAAAAAATTAAAAAAATAGAAACTTATATGAAGAGAAAGTGTAAATATGAGAAGTTAAAATATAAAAAGAGAACATATATACAAAATTTTGTTTAGAACACTAACCCTCTTCTCTCTTATACACAACTCTCACAATCTCCTTTTCTCTCTTTATAATTATCTCACTTCTTTTGCCTCGCCTCTCTCCTCCACTATCTCACTTTAATTTTTATTAATTATAACTATGAATCATCTTTAATAAAAGTCGAAAAGTGACAATAAAATAAAATAACGGCTCAATCTCTTTTTTTTTCTTACTTTTAAAAGAATTAATTTTAAAATAGTAGACATAATATTATTATATTTAGTTAATTTATATAATACGTCTTATTTATTTTATAAATCTCTCTATTTTTATCCATCTATTTATTTACAAACTTTAAATAATTTTCTTAAATTTATTTACTTCTTTATTGAAAAGTATTTATACTTGTTATTTCATATTATTTTATTTAATTACTTAAATTTTAAAATAACAAAATATTAAAAAATCAAACCGAACCGTACCATACTAAAACCGAGCAAAACCGAATAAATTAGTACCGGTATCAAAAAGTATAATTTTAATTTTAACTTTAAAAAACCAAATAAAATGATATGATATAAATTTTGTCAAAAAACTATAAAAAACTGAACCGTTAACACTCCTACCTCTTACAACTCTTAATTTCCCTCCAATGCTGTCAATGTTTCTAAGAGCAATTGAAAGATATTCTGAGGATTCCACGAAAGCTAATAGATGAATTGCCAATTAATATATGAAACTGCCGATGAACAATGAAACTAGCACCACTCCTGCCAAAGAGAGAGCAGCAACTCTGACTTCACCGAAAATAAACAGTATCTTGAACTCTTTTTCTCAGTCCAGTAACCAGCCATCGAAGTCAAAAACAAAATTTTTCGTTATAAAATCTGCAATTTTTTTTTTTGTTCCTTCTGTTTTCTCAGATGGCGTCATGCCAGTCATATGCAACAAAGTCACAGGACCCATTCATCTGAGAAGTTTGATTCTAGATAGGGTTGAACATTCACTAATTTCACTAAATCAAATCTCCACATGATAAAAGCAATTATTAATTACTGAAGCTGCTCGGATCATCTATAGTCATATTCGCAAGGCAACATGACAGAATCCACTTTCATCCTTTTAAATGTCAGCTGCAAGAAAGTTCCCTGATAGAGTGACCTGTGAATTTATCAAGTTAGGCATCTATAAATGTTGTTTTCTTTTTTTTTTTTCATCTTTTTTGGGGGAGGGGGGGTGTGAGGGTGGGGGTGGGGGTGGTAGGAGACAAAGGAAATCTTCTTGCTGCTTTTTTTTTTTTTTTTTAACATACCTTCTCACCAAGTTTGAAGGGAGGAAGACCCCTGTAAGGGCATGTACTGCACCGAAAAGCATCACCTAATCCACACTGTTTCAGAAAAGAGAAAAAAGGTGTTACATTAAAGAAATACGCAGGTGAAGCTTGAATGGTGATTGAATCATCGTGCCATGCTCCCAGTTTAGAACATTTTCCTGTGCTCCAGACAAACAAGCTGGCCAAAGAAAAAGGAGACAAAACTCTTTAACTCTCCAAGCAGTATATTCCAGGCCATCCCATCAGAACACAATGAATAGGTTACTTACACGGCATAAACTAACCAGTATCTCCAAAGCCTTACTGTCCAATACATTCATCTCAAAAGGAGGTTAAACCAAGGACTAGGTAGGCCATAACTTCTCTCAGAGTGGTATGACATTTAACATAAAAATAAATATATAAAAACCCAATCCATTGTGAAGACACATTCAGAAAACTGCAATCAATATATATGTATGACACAAAATTAGAAGAAAACATACACTGCCACATGCCGACTGAGGATTGTTCAATTGGTCCATGGATAATCCTAAATTCTGTACTTTTTCCTCTGCCTCAGCCCTTCCACAAATGCAATTTTTGCAGGCTTTCCTTGTACTTCCAAGTTCACAATCACCAACTGCATACACATTTTAAACATGAGAAAAATGAATATGATTTTAATCAAAGCAACATAAATAAATTAATAAACCAATGTCTTACCAGGTGGCAACTGCGGTTTCTTCAAATCCTCTTCAGTCAAGAGGCTATCCTCATCAATCAGATCCACATCATCATCTATTTCGATTTTGGGTAGACTTTTAACGGGCTTCCTTTTAATTGCAAATGATGACCCAGACTTCCAAGAAGGCTTTCTCGCCTTAATCTGTTGAGAAAATAAATTAAATTAATCCATTTTCAATGATATAACAGGAATTACAGCTATCATTTGCACAATTTCTAAGACATCCAGGATAGAAATGCATACACAGTAATTACTAGGAGTCTGAAAGTCCTTGTAATAATAACAAAAGCTTTAAGGCACTAAACTCCAATTTCAGAATTAACAAGGCTTAAACCCACGCGCTTGCTTTCTAACAAAGGGGGGCAACCTTCTAAGCTAGACGTGAAATTTAGATTCAAAATCTATATCCCCATTTTACCTTATCGTAGTCCCTAACCAGGAGGACCACAAAGTGCAATGCTGCAAGACTAATTCAAGAGTAATTCATCAACAGTAACTTCATTAATAAAATGGGTTATCGCATATTAAAACCATGTCATCTGAACTGAACCAGACAGGCCAGTTCAACCAGTTGAACCAAGAACCAACAGATTATTGATATGGATCCACGCTTGAGGACGTATTCACGAAGAAGGTGGAGAAAATGTGGTAAACATGGGGATCAGTTATTGGGGTTACACGTTCAATATGCTGAAGAAGTGGTCCAAGACCTTCCATAACCATCCCATAACTTCCACTACTCCACTACTTCCACTCAAGCCATATCCTCAATTATTTCCTTCATTCTAGGAGTTTATTTCTGTTTGTTAGCTAGGGCTATTTAGTATAAATAGCTTGTGGATTTGTTTTAGGGGGATTGTCTGGTTTATGGATATTTGTTAATTCTTGGAGTTTTGTCCCCTCCATACGAAAAGGTTTATTGGTTGTAATTGTGTTTAAGATTCTTGCACAATTCCTTGCCAATAAAAGTCTCTATTTCTTTTTTTTTTTTAATTAATATTTCCAACCTCTATCATTTTGGTATCAGAGCAGCTCGATCCAATGGTTAACACCCGATCGTCCAACCTCCAAAATGATCCACCCAGCCCAAACACCAATCCATCAACCAACCCAAACACCAATCCTGCAGCCAATCCAAATTCTGATTCCATCACTCAACAATTATCAGCCATTGCTTCCAAATTAAATACCATAGACTTCCTGGCAGCAGAGGTCGCAGCACTCAAAGCCCAATCTAGTGGAGCCCCACTTGCGGAAACCAGTCTCGGGGTATCTAACAAAGGAAAGGCCAAGGAACTTCCTATGGGGCTACGTGAGAAGGGAAGATCAACATGGTCAGAAACAAAAGACAACGACATGGATAATCCGAGGTGGTTTAGGAGTCCTTCATGGCGCCCTCACACAAAGATGGAATTTCCAAAATTTGAAGGTGGAGATCCCCGTGGTTGGATCTTGAAAGCGGAAAAATATTTCCTTTATTATCAAACCCCAGAGGAACTCAAAGTCGACATCGCCGCTATGTATCTCGAAGGTGATGCCCTCGACTTATTTGCTTGGATTAATCGTGAGCGAACTTTGCTATATTGGGAGGAGCTTGTCAAAGCATTGCAGGAAAACTATGGTCTAGTGGAGTTCCAAAATCCCAACGAACATCTCTGTGGCATACGGCAAACTGGGTCTGTTCAAGAATACCGTCAAGAATTTTCCAAGAGATCTTCACGTGTCACAAATTGGCCAGATCATTGCTTATTGGGCGTGTTTTTAAATGGTTTAAAGGAAGAGTTAAAAGCTGATGTTAGGATCCACAAACCCAGAACTGTCTATAGGGCCATGAGTTTAGCTCTTGAATTTGAGTCCAAACTAAGCCCAAATCGCAGCAACAAAGGGCCCAGTTGGACCACATCCAGCCGACCCAGCCCATTGCCCCAAAAATCATTCACACGAGTTCTTCTTCCTCGCGACAACAACTCATCTTCCTCAGCTATTCAAGCGAAATCACGAAGCAATTTTCAGGCCACCCAAGCAATGACCCAACCTCTACAAAATCGATCTTGGGAAGCTGAAAGACAGAACCGTTTGGCAAAGGGTCACTGTTTCGGTGTAACGAGAAGTTCGCTCTAGGTCACAGATGCAAACCCACAAGCTTCTCTCTAATAGAACTCAAGGACGACGAACTTCCAGCAGACGGAGAAGAAGAAAATAAACTCCTAGAATGAAGGAAATAATTGAGGATATGGCTTGAGTGGAAGTAATGGAGTAGTGGAGTAGTGGAAGTTATGGGATGGTTATGGAAGGTCTTGGACCACTTCTTCAGCATATTGAACATGTAACCCCAATAACTGATCCCCATCTTTACCACGTTTTCTCCACCTTCTTCGTGAATACGTCCTCAAGGGTGGATCCATATCAATTATCCTGTCTGGTTCATTAATGGATCAGAAATGCACGCAAACTACAATAAACAGTTTGAACTATGTTTGCCAGGCGGTTTTCTAATAGAACCATGCACTAAAACAAGGCTCTCACAGGCAACATAAAGACTAAAGGTGCAAAGTCCAGGGCTCAAACCTTGAACCTACAAGGACCAACTAGAGCCTCAGCCAACTTGCCTACGTGGGATCCTTACTAGAAGGAAACAAATTTATTTTTAATTAGAATGTAATCAACTACTACTTCTGTTAGGGACTTCTTGTTACATAGAACATATACAGATCTATATCTTCACACAGATAGATCTTATGTAAAAGCAAGTATTTCATTTTATTTTGTTCACACTAATTTTATTATTTTTTCAAGCACATTTTAGTGCTTCTAGTATCATTTATTTATTTATTCTTTCTTTTGCTTTACTTTCTCAATATTTTTTCCTTTTTTGTAATTATTACTTACACCTAATATTTTGTATTTATTAAACCAGTTGAATCAATGAGATATTGAACTAGTCCCTTGACCATCTCAATGTATGGTCTTGTCTGGTTCTAAGAACTATGATTCAAACAAAGGTCATCCCTAACTCATTTTGCCTTGACAAAAAAAGAGTGCAATGAGAGATGGGAGATTGGTAGGTGTAGATACATAAAAGAGAAGGGACAAAAGCTAACCCCAAGATATTGAACAGCTTCAGAATGTAAAGCTGGCTTTGCTGGTAAAACTTCAACATCTAAGAATCCAGCCACCAGGAACTTGCGCTCAAGTGGAGATGTTTTCTGCAATGAAATAGAGGTAAGGCCAATATAACACAATATTCCACCAATTATAGAACAGTATAACAGTAAGTTACCATTTCTCCTGTTAAGGTTTCAGAACTTAGATGAAGTAGTATAGTTCCATCAGGCTTCAACACCCTAGAAACTTCGCCTAACAACTGCTCCCCAATAAATTCAGTAGACTTGCACATAAGTATGATGATATCCAAGGATGATGAACCCACTGGCAGCTCACCTGACTCATTCATGATCAACATTAGAAAGCTGAAATAAATACAATGACACTTAAACTGCATAGAACTGGCAAAGAATTGAATGAGCCAGATCAGAAAGTTATTATTTGGCCATAACGTGAGTTCAATCAAAATTAAAAGACTAACACAAATAAAGGAAATGATTTTCACTGCGTAGGAACTGAAAATTTTTAAAAGCATCATTTCTATTTTCTTACCCCCAATGCTACAAGCAGGAACTGTAACAAGCTATATACGATTTCTTAAATGCCAATTATCTTGTCCACAAAAATCTTAAAAGAAATTATTTGAAAGAAAACAAAATAAAAGAAGAGGAGAGTTCCACAATTGCAAGATATATATCAACAATAGGCCAAGGTAATGAAGAAAGAAGTAAGCATGACTAAAAAGGAATTCTAAAAGTACACGTTTGACTTACACAAATAGAAATCAAATGGCACCAAGTCACCAGTCCCCAAAACGTGTAGCTAATATATTTTTCCTTGAAAAAATCAACTCACATATACATGAAAGATAATCTTAAGGTTATTGGGAACATGACATTTTTTATCCCACCCACGTATGAGATGCCAGTTCATTAACCAAGGTAATCCATTTCACATCACCAAGATGCCCATATGAAATAACAGCAGACTAATAAACATATATTGGGTTGATTACCACCAGACAACTCTTTACAAGGTTAATGGCTGAATCTGTGCACACATGATTATATTACACATATCTCAAATTTCACTGATACACTGTAAATGTCAAGTGATTAAGACATTAGTAGTATTGGTGGCAGTAGTGATTGGAAGGGTTTAAAGATGTTAATAATGATGCTTGACGTCGATGGTGACACTGGCTAGTTATATAATCTTTCAGAAATTGCATGCCAATGTTCCCAAGAGGAACTTATTCCTTTTTCTCTCCTCATAGCTTGTTTTTCTTAAATATAAGCAAACCCCCCCCCTCCCCAAAAAAAAAAAGGAAGATGAAAAAAGAAAAAAAGAAAAAGCTTGTTTTCCTTCTGTTCTCTAATTACAAGAAAAAAAAAATGAAAAAAAAAATTCAATGGAGAAACAATTAGAGATATATTTTTCTAAAAGAAAAAGATTCAGGAACATTCTTGAATGCAATTTATAAGGTTTTCGTAGTATTCCTGCTAGTAAGCATTCTATACATGCGCGCACATGGGCACGCGCACACACACACAAAAGATGAAGAAGAAAACAAAAAAGAAGAAAAGAAAGAAGCTAAACAGAATAGAAACAAAGAATAAAGAAAAGAAAAGGTAAAAGAATAGTGATTTTGTATTGGTACAAGAATAGTGATTTTGCATTGGTACACAATCACTGTCCAAGTGTTTGCTAACAGCAGATTTATAAGCACACCTATCATGCTAAGAAGCTAAACCATGCATGTAGTTTACATCAACAGAGACTTTGAATAGTGTAAATCACTAAACATGCTTGGAAGCATTGTTGGGTAGAAAACCTACACACTGAACCTTAATCAATAGCAAAGAAACAAAAACATACCCAGCAATGAAGCTTGAGTGACGATTAGGGGATCAATCTGGTCCACTCTTCCATTCTTGATCATCTTGACAGCATTTAAAACTGCACTAGTAGGCAGAACTGCCAGATCAGTAAGAGCCAATACACTGTCCTGCATCATTACAGTATCCTGCAAGATAAATTGACAAAAATGATTTGTGTGTAAAATGTTCATTAACTTAAAACATTTATTAACCAACACTTGCAAATTCAATAGTCATCTCCAATAAACATCACAACGTCTCACAGCATTTTCACAAACTCCTTGGGTAAATAATTCCCCAGGGGAGCCATATATAACATTCACTAAAGAATCTAAATGAAAGAAAACTATTGGCAAACATGGACAACCATGAAAAGAAAAAAAGGAAAAGGATAATAATACTAACTCAACAGACAAGGAGTGAGAATATATTGTACACAATCAACTGGCAACAAAGTAGCTAAACTTCAAAATGCATAATCAGAAGCTAGAGTGTAGGATCAATATTCGTAAAAACATACTTTCAATAAAAGAGGATTATAGGCTTTTTCTTATCAGCAATGTAATGACAGCTCTACTTGAAGTTAATGTTAAAACAGGGACATGTAAATTCTGCATTACCTAAGTAAAGTGGTTGACGTTCCCAAATCCCACAGGCTGACAATAAATATAACAACCAAAGGGGAAAAAAAAAAAAAAGAAAAAAGATAGCAATATCTTCTGCTAGGCTATGTTCATTGCATATTATATTACACAATAAACCAAGAATGACCAAGTGATTTGTATCTTCTGCTAGGTTGTACACTAGTAAGGACTGAGGGCCTTGTAACTAGCTGGTGTAACACAATTAAAATAGGCAGTAAAAATAATTTCTGGTTTGTGAGGACTGAGGACCTTGTAACCAGCTAGTGTGGCACACAACTAAAATAGGCAGTAAAAATAATTTCTTAACTAGATCCAGCAGTCAAGGAAATATCCCCGCTAATTTTATTTTATTTTTCAAAATGATCAACTTGGAAGAAACTAGACTATAGTTTAAAATATGAACTCCAACTCAAATCATACTCCATGGTTGGTGATTTTTTACAAACCAAGCCAAATCATGAATCCTTAAAAACCAAACCAAACCCTACCATAGTTCATAGTTTGGCTTGGTTTCAAACCACAATTTGTTGGTCGCCTATGTGATAAAAAAACTCAATATTTTTACAAATATTTTGATAGAATATCTTCTAAAAATTGGACATCCAAAAATTTTATTAAACCTACTAAATATTCGTATCAAAATGAACAAGAGTTCAATGCCATCATTTCCAACCACTACTTTTCTCAAAGTCCAAATTCAACACATAAAATGTAAAATAAAATAAAATAATATAAAATAAAATAAAATAGAATACCACATGCTCAAAGTTTCAATTCCTTTATAGCCAAAAGATAATTTTAACCAGAAAAATAAATCTGGTTTAAAACAAACCAAACTGAACCGTGACCTGTATAAAACCAAATCAAAACGTGTTTTAGTTTAGTTTAATTGGTTTGGTTTGATTCGATGAACACCCCTGATTGCTCTAAAGTCTAGACAATCCTAAACACTATAAGTGATATAATCCATACAAGTTTCACTTATCCTCCTGCATTCTATCCATCAAATATAACATAATTTACTGCAAAAGGGTTCTTAACCAGCTCAAGAAATTAAGTACATAAAACCTTAAGAACAAAAGATTACTCCTCACAGGTGCCCGCCACAGATATCACAATGAAAAACAAAATTGAGTAGATGATTAAGCGACTCATTAAAGGTATGGCATCAATATTTTAGAAATACTGGTTCAGCGCAGGCAAAGCGACATTGAAATTGTAGGATCTCATGTAAAATTTGATTTTCCGTCCCAACAGAAAATAAGATTAAAGAAACTTCCGAAAAGCATAAAAATATGTTCGAGAATCTCATTTATTACTAGAATTTTAATTCCACTAAAATGGAGCCACGTGGTCCTGTTAAAGCACCAGAAAGATTAGAACTGTACAACTCCTTACGAGAAATTCCAACACTAATCATGAAAGCTGGGTGTATTAGGGTTTACATCATATTATCCAGTGCAATTTCCAGGAAACTCTGTCAATTCATACGGATCAAGGCGGAAGCACGCATCTCAAGCACTGAATTGACCCCAATTACACAAAGGAATTAACTATCCCAGGAAAACTGATACAGACGAAATTCTCATTCAACTCATTCCAAGAAGATTAACAAATTTTAGATCACGAAGAAACATAGCGCTCAGAAATCATAATCTCAACTAACCATAAACGTTAAACGAAAGACGAGGGGTGACCAACAGTGACACCGACGAGGTTCAGACAACACCCTGGCTCCGACGAAATTCCTTAGGGGCAGCAACAGTACCGTCCAGCCGACTCTCCCTCTAATTTTCTCTCTCTCGATTGTTCGACGCTATGGACGCAGAGACGGTGGGGAAGCGGGGCTCAAATTAAATTAAAGGAGGTAGTGGGTTTGATAGGCTACGGCGGCGGTTCATGAAGGGACAAAAGGTACGGTGAGGTGGCCTTGGACCTGTCCTCGTGGCATGTGTTTTGGCAAGGGTCGGTTGCGCTGGGTTGCAAGAGGCGGCGTGTTGGCTCGTGCCAGCCACACGACGGTTCGAAGTAGCAGGTCAACCCACACACTCTGGTGGTCTACGCAAAGACCAGCGCTTATAGGTCAACTATAAATTAATATTAAATATTAATTTTAATAATAAATTAAGAAATATTATTATTTCTATAATATTTACAGTATATTAATATTTAATATGAAATAAATTTATTTTGAAAATAATAATAATAGTAAACAAATCCTGTTCATGACCGAATTTTATCCAAATTAATCCCTGCCGTTGGATCAAAAATCAAAAGTAAAGCAATGAGATTGAGCGTTTCGCTGTCTATACTAAATCTATTACGGGATATGAAGCAAAGAAAAATTGATAACATTAATTAGACCTGCATGTTTCTCATTTACTAATTCTTTTAAATATTTTCATGGGGTTGCAATTTGTGACTTCCCAATTCATTTTTTATTCTTCTAATTTATACTGCATCAGAAAGCGAGAAAATGAATGAAATCTCTCACATTTTTTTAAAACAAGTGGATCCATAATTATTTTTTTTCTTACCTTGGCATGGAAGGACAGAGCCTGGGAATGGAATACCGTGGTTGCTTGAACCTCTCCGAATACATCGACGGCCTACAGGTGACACCCACTCTTATAAGTCCGCCGTGCGATCAGCAAACGGCCTTCTGACCGTTCCATCGGTTGCCGTCAATCTCATCGGAAGGTGGAACCCGTGGGCGACGTTGACGTAACAGGAGGATGTGCCCGGCTGCAGAAATCTTAAGAAACTTGCTCTCTTGAATCTCTGTCTATGCTGAATATTTTAAATAGGCGAGACACCTATTGCCGTCGAGTCTTATTGACTCTCGAAAACATAGTTAATTTTTATTTTAATTGAAAATAAAAATAAATTTAAAAAATATAAAATTCTTATTATTTATAAATAATTTAAATAAATTGAGTAAAAACTTAAAAATAAAACTTTTTTTTGGTTGTTCTGTAACAGGTTTTTTCTTTTATTTTATATCTCCGGCACGGTGGGTGAATGATAGGTGTGACTGGCCCTCGAAAGTCCCTAAATTATCACCGGTGGTGGTTGTGAAAGTTGGACGGGCAAATTTGTAAAATCACCCAAGCTGGCAATTTATGGAAAAATTTTATTTTCATCCCAACATTTTAAGTCAATTACAAAATCATTTTAATATTTTTTAATTTCAACTATTTCATCCTTCTAGCAAATTCACCGTAATATCTTTCAAGTAAAATTTTAATTATGTATGTTGAATAGTATACCTTTTTACTAAATTATAACATGTTCTCAAGATCTATTCTCATTCCTCACCTTCGTAATTCAACTTTAATAAAATATTTATCATAATTTTTTAATTATTTGTCACAATAACTATTTTGGAAACATTTTTCCCCACAAATTTTATCTATATATTTAGTTGCTATAATAGATATTCCAATTTTATGTAGTCAAAAAACTGTTCATTTAAATTAAGTTTGCATTTTTAAGGACCTACAAAATATTCTTTATTTTAATTTTTTTCCCAAATTTTTGAGCTGCTAAATTATATAACAGGTAACTAACACTTCTTACAAGAATTAGGTTGTTTAACTTACCTTAATTCCAATAAAAATTCTTATAACTACATAGAACTGGACTAATTTGCATTGTGATGACCTAAAAGAATTATTTTATTTTATTTTATTGTTTTTCAAAATATTGAGTTGCCAAATCATATTCAGAATAAGTAACACATTTTTATAAAAATTACTTTATTCAGTTTAACTTAATTCGAATGAACATTCTTCTAACTACATAGAACTGAAAAATTAGTCCATTAGAGTGAATATATAAACAAAGTTCGTTGGGAACAAAAAATCCTTCCCAAATGATTATAGTGATAAAAGTTTAAAAAGTTATTGCAAGAACTTAATTAAAATTGGATTATAAAGGTGGGCATGAAAGTGAATTTTTTATAGACGTTGTAATTTAATAAAAGAGTATATTAGTCAACATATACAATTCAATTTTTTGGTTGGAAAATGTTGCTCTAAACTTGTTGGAAAGATGAAATTGACAAAATTGAAACTACATGGACAATAAAATCTGAGAAATGAAAATAAACATTTCCTAGCAATATATATATATATATATATAAATATAAAACATATTGGAACAAATTTGTTTTTGTTAAAATATGTTTTCTTAGGATAGGTTTTATTTGGAAATGCCTAACCAAGAATAAAATTAATTCTTGGAACAAATGTGAAAAAGAAGATATAGGGAGAAAGCATCTCAAAGATGTGTGCAAAGTTTCAAGTTTTCAAATCTAACTACTAATGCAAGACTTGACTTTAAAGGTCCCGTGACTCATAGAGTCAATGAATAAGGTCATGAAACACTCAAACACTCTAATATCAAATCAAAACTGCACTTTGATGACTCCATGCGAAGACCTGCAAGATTTTCATGTGAAGGTATGAAGGTTACATCAAACACAAGGTCAGATCAAATGAAGACTATTTCCATGCATGTGCAAAATAATTTTTGACAAAAATTGCAAAGAGACTATTCCAATGCATGCACAAAAATAATTTCCAACAAAGGTTACAAGATTCTTGAAGACATCTCATGGAAAAAATTGTAATCTAATTTTAATTCAAGTCCGAGTCTGTCTATAAAGGCAGACTTCACAGATTGTAAAGGCATCACTTAATTTTGAAAAAAGAAAACCTTCACTTGGTTTCTCTGAAACCATTGAAGCCTCAATCTCTTCTTGTAATTCCAATTTGTATCTCCCAAATTTGTATTCTCCAATTTATATTCAACAAGTTAAGATGCAATTCAATTTTAATAATTGTAAGTATTTCAAATTTAAGTTTCTTTAATATATTTCATTTTGTTTTCTGTTGATTATTTTTGTATTTTAATTATTTGTTATTTTCTGTTAAGATTCTTCCAAATTATTATCATGTTTTTGGGTGGGGTCTTTGGTATCAAAGCCAGGTTCTATGTTACAACTAGAATATTATATTTTGAGTATCAAAACATTGAGGACTCTTGGATCTCTAAGAGAAATAGAGAAATTTGAAAAATAATTGAAATAAACAAAGTCATTATAAAAGACTAATTTCAATAACTTCTAATAAGAAATTTTTGAAATTTAAGTGTTTTTTATTCTTTAGATTGAGTAAGATTGTTGTATTGAGACCACTTCTATTAAGTAGTTTGATTGTGATTTAGACTAATTCAAAATGAATATATTAATATTTTTGTTTATGTTTTTGAATAGTTTTTACTCTAATACTTTTATGGTTTGATATTCACTTCAAAAAGAGATAGTTTGCTCAACAATTTTGATTGAATAATTAGATAAAAATTGAAAAAGTTTAATTTTGTAGATTTTCTTATTGGGACTTTAAAATAACCCAATTATTGAGTGATTAATCTACATTTTGAAAAATTTGTTCTTCATTATTAGCTATGTTTTAAGATGAATTTAGTGCCACAGATATAGTTTTAGATAAAAATGTCATAACTTAAAAAACTTTTAAGTTTAAAGATTTTTATTAATCATCTTATAAATACTATCCTATCCTAGGCTTGTTAATGTACTACGCTTTATTTTTGAGACTTACAACTTTTGTCATTAAGTAATGCGACTCTACACACTAATTCAGATAGATTTAGTATTTATTTGATAATTAATTAAAATCTTCTCACCTAAAATTGCATAAATTTTGGTATTTTTCTCTACTCCTGTGACTCTGATACCAAAGACCCCATCCAGGAACAAGATAATAATTTTGAAGAACAAATGATAAAAATACATAAATAATTAACAGAAAATAAATTGAAATATATTAAAATAACTTAAATTTGAAATACTTACAATTTGAAATTGCATTTGAACTTTCTAAAAATAAATTAGAGAATACAAATTGAGAATAAAAGAGGAGATTGAGGCTCAAATAGTTTCAGAAAAGACCAAGTGATTGTTTTATTTTTTGTCTTTAGGCTTGGAGAATTTTTATTAGTTTTGTAAAAATTTTTCTTTGCTTGGTTTAGGTTTATAACTTTTATATTTTATTAGTATTTCGTTCAGTTTTCTTCTTGATGGAGGGATATCTGTATGTTTATTAAAACCAAATTATTGACAAATATTTCCTAACTCTCTTATAGAATTTGTTAATTCTTTTTGCAAATTTTGATGTAAGTGGAAATTTGTACATATTTTTTAAGTTGTTTTCTCTAATTACATCTAAGATATCAGCATAAGTTAAATTATCATAATTGATTTCTTTATTTTCATTTTGTTTCTTAATTTTGTTTTAAATTTTTCTAGAAAAAGCTTGAGTAGACCATCCATAAATATTTCTTTCCAGTATGATTGTCTCTAGTCTTCTCTTAGGGATAATTTGATTAGAAAAAACATTTTCATACTAAGTAAAATCTTAGAGTTTT